AGTTAGACCTTATGATATCACACTCCAGTGAACATATAATTGCAATAGTCTACTGCAGCCATGACCATACACGAATAATTTTTATTAAACAGTATGATGGTCTTCGAATTGGCAATCAACAGTATTAACGTCGTAATAGCAAAAGAGACGAAATATCAGCCATCATTATGGAAGTAAGATTTATAACGAATACGCTGTCAGGAACAGATCGCTGCGCCCGATGGTTTTCTGTTTCGAGAATGCTTGCCAGTGACCTATTTAGCAATACATCTCTTAGAGTCCGGATAGAAGATACGAACTTCATGCGTGTTAATAAAAGTACTGGCTGGCCAACTAATCTTCTATGAAGAGCGTGTCCGTCGAAAGATTAACTATGGCCACACACACATTCTGCTCTCAAGACGGCAGTTGCCTCGATTAAAAAATATGTTGTATTACACTTATCGCCAAGAAATACTATGTTGCGGTTTTTTGAACTTAAAAGAGACTTTCAGAGTTGGTAGAGCTCGTCTAAAAGGAAAGAGCGTCTCAGTCTCTCGAATTAAGTAACGCCCATGATAGGAGAAAAATTTGTGCCTTCAGATACCTCATGCTTACACAATATTTAAAATCGTGCGTTGAGGAATAACTTCAGTGGTTGAACTTATTAGTGAAACGAAGTGTAAGTAACTAGTCAGAATTGATATATAAGTCAGGGAGATAGATATATAACGCATGGTTTTTAAGTTGAGCGTAATTCCATCAAATCAGTCGTCACCTAAGGTATTTGTAGTTTATCATGAACATATTAACGATATCTTACTGGCTACATAGAGCTTACAATTACATGGGAAATACCAGAGTCGATCACAATGGAGTAGGTGAATACACTCTCTGTCTTCCCTTAAACTATAAGATTAAAATCGCTTAATATCTTTCCTTCTACCAGCTAATTCTTTCTTCCTATACTATGCCCCTACATGCAATCTTTCTTTTATACATTACCACCACTGAACTAACTACTTCTATGAACCCGGTGTTCGTCTTGCTGTACTAATGAGGTATGACACATTGGAGCGACGCATATCTGTGTCTGGTTCTACATTATAGCTGACTGACTGACTGTTTCAAGAATTAGCCGATGCTTAACTAATGTTCAAAAGTGGAAAACCAGAAGTCACATAGATTTCCCTACTATTATAAATTGAATACTCACAATCCTACTGTGAGTCATTTTGGGAGGTCCATTACCCACGTTTTTGTTTCCAGCATTATAAGCCTTCAAAGTATAACTTCCCAATAGTTTATTTTCCACACACGTAAAGACTGGATGCAATTTCTCGGACTGAACGGAAAAAAACACAAACACGACCCCACTGCTAGGGCCTGTCCCGATGAGTTGGCAAATGAAAAAATTACATTACATGTGAGCCCCTTACAAAATGTTCGGTCCAATCCCCATCCGAGGACGAAGCAAGTTTAATGAACAGCTTTGACCTGCGGATTGCCGTTTGTCGGTAAATCGTGGCCTACAGGTATCGATCGCAACTACTTCCTCACCATTACCTAACAATGTCAGCTAAGAAGTAGCACAATAGGATTAAGATTCATGACTCGGTTGTTCAATCGCCACTTATTTTGAACCGTGTGATAAAGTGAGATAAACGCCGTCAGCTTATTGGTGCCCTTATTCTACAGACCCGTCGTCTGACTCCATTATCGGATGACGACATCAAAGAAGTATAAATATCCCGCTTAACCTCGTATATATTCGTTGATTTAATTCGCTCCGGTGAACAAAGGAATAAAACGCGTCAAATACGAGAGTGGATTTCGAGTAGGTACGTTCCATACTTCTGTTTATGTGGACAAACAGTAGTTGGATAGCGGACAGACGCGCAGTTTCAATTAAGCAGTGTCTCAAAATTTACAGTTGGATGGAAAAACAAGATAAAGAAATCTGGTGCACACTTTTGTTAACGTAAATACAACGAACGTTGAAATAGAATGACCAACACAGTCCAACATGTGTGTAGACAGTTACTCATAAGGATCAGGTTGTTTCATGTATAAGAGTTAGAATGATCTACATATCGTGGTAAACTACTAGATGCTACGATTCGATGCCTTTAAATTAGTAATAACTACGCGCTGAGTGTTCTTTTTAACTTGAGACTATAAATGTGCTTCAAACGATTTAAGGTACTTTTGGCTACAAATACTGAAGTACTTTTAACCACTTTCCACCCGCTGATAACCCGATTAAAAAATTATTAGCTAAGTAAGATGTGGCTGTTCCAAGCTTTATATACCAGTCTCTCTCACACAAACTTTACGTTTCGGATGTGAAGGTAAAAGAAGAGATTTAGAAAGTATTTGTCAACGAGCATTCTAGGTTTTATGACCATGTCATCTTGTATCCCCCAATGTGTTAATGAGGATAGATATATTTTAGATATCCTCTTCAAACATGGAGCCCCAGAGATTCCACAATTGTATCTGATTCCGACGCTTTGAACCCCTTTCAACAATCAACTACTCCTTCTAAACAAGCCCTCAAAGCGACTCACCGATGGTGACTTGCTGTTTTCGGGTATTGATCAGTGATAACTCATATTTAATACAAAGAATAACATAACGTTATTTGACATTTATTGATCAGCGCCTTGATATCTAAATTGTAATGTGGTATGACGGGATAAAAAGGCAGAATCAGATTTCGACTCGTGATTTTTAGTCAACAATACTTATGTTTTTTAATTCAATTTGACGATTATTCAGAGTGATGTTTCTTTTGCTTTCCAGTGTGGTATATTATTCGTTATAACATTAATTTATTTGAGTGTGATATTTACCTAAAAAATTAAATTCTTTGAATCAAATTAACGTAAACTATGCTCAGCATGAGACAAAGGCATATGATTTGTTATAACTCTGAGTGTTTCTCATATACGTGATCTTTTCCTAATTAACAATTAAATTGGCGTACAAATCGATAAATAAACGAGAGTATGTTCGTCTAGAGTCGTCTTTATGATTTGGGGTAGGTAAATCATCACATGTACCAGGTTTGGTGTTCTTACATTGTGTTATGAGAATTGTAGTGGTTCCTTCAAGTATAAGCAATAAGTGACGCGTGCATAACGGCTGATGAGGGAAAATAAACGGAAAAATTTAGTTGGTGAACTTAAGGACTTGCAGATCAACATATGCTAACTGAGGGTAAATATTTGCAGCTAGTGAAACGGGTAGCTTCCGAATTCGCCGAGTCTTCTGTGTGTTATTCGTCAAATAACGCAGATGTCGCACTGAAACCAGTTACTAGTTTTATCTATGATCCCGAAAAGTGAATCACATTAAACATCTGGCAAAACAGATATGAAAATTTAAACAAAGTCGAACTGGCCAATCTAGACAATGGTATCAGAGTTCGCTCTCTTCTCAGAAAGTTAGAAACAATTGAACATGCCAAATATACAAATTTTAACCAACCGGTATTGTCTAAATCTATTAACTATGATAGCACAGTTAGTATCCTTTAAAAGATGATTGGTGAAAAATCAACTCTACTCAGTATCAGTTACTGCTATTTGAACGTATCCAAAAAGCCGACTAATAATTTCCTCGCTTATGCTGGTTGGGTGAATCGGGCATTTGAACGTTTTAGCCTGGGTTTGCTTGCTCAAGACCAATTCAAATATTTGATGTTAGCCCTCGGATTTCAGTCACCATCTGATTCTGAAACCAGTACTCGTATCTTAGCATTCATGGAATATGATACATCTTTAATCCCCCAAGATGTAACGGAGAAGTGTCATTGAATTTTGAACCGGTAACATGGCACGAAACCAAATGAAAACAGAAGTGATACACGCGCATTGAATGTATCCACCCTGAAATCAAGGCATCAACAGAAATTTCACTATACGGCTACTTAGATGCAAGGGTGAAAATTGGCTTGTTGGGTTCCTGGTGTTAGGCATCACGGAAAAAGGTCCTCACACAAAACTAATAAATACATTAAGTATCAGTGATTCGGTCACAAAGACGGCCTTCATAGGAGTTGAAGTACTTCACTTTCTGATGTAAAGAGATTCAAATCAGTTCGATGGAAGGACTTTCTTGGCGTTTTTTAATTTTTGAATGTTCATCTGGCATTTATCAGTACGTCGCTCTCTAAACATAACCCACTATGATCTTTCGATGCAATCAACGACGTTTTTGGTTCGTCTACTATGTCTATGTTAAGGAAGTTAATCAATACACTGTTTTGCTAGCCAGGCTCATGGAGTCAAAGGCTCATTTAAACGATCTCCAGCTGAATTCGAAATAGTTTTGGTGTCATTAACTTCCCGAGCCGAATTGTTCTGAAGATGAGATATCTCTTCCCAACTTCCAAGACTGAGTAAGACTCTCAATATCTCGGATTTTAAGTTTAGTAAATGAAACTTCTCGTGCACATATTTACATCTATGCAGGCGTTTTTGTGCTATTCATTCAAACCATTAATCGATTATCGTACTAAAAAGAGGGACGATTGTAACATCTTTAGGACGTAAAATTTATGGAGAATGAATCCAGTGACAGAAATATCTTGAGAAATAATAATGAGACTTACTCCAACTAAAATATTGCTAAATATACTCGTAAAATGTGTTCCAGATGTGAAAAAATGAAGTGTGAATCTCATAGACTTTGAATAAAGATGTCAGTCAGTTTTGACCTTACTAATTGTTTTATTGCGCCAACTGCGCGATGTATCTAGACGCAGAGCAATTAGGCACGATTTTAAAGGGCTAGAAATTGTCCAAGCATGGCGACGTTCACGTGTCAAGTTTATTATCTAGATGATAGGGACCCTTTTTCGTGTAATTCTCTGTCGCTTTTGGAGCCCATGAAACCGATATCATTTACAATTTTAATGGAGCTTCCACTAAGTAGTCAGCTTCCTGCAATTCATAAAATCCTACACCCGCCACATCGCGTAATCTTCTATAAAACTAAAACATTTTTTGTTTTAGCTCGAAGACAGTACACTTCAGTTGTACAAGTTCGGCCAGGCACAATCCGAGTTCGGTTCATACCTTGATCTTGACTCTACATTACAGGAGCAATGGGAAGATTTGGAAATATCTGCCGATCAGTGAGTCATTTTTCGTTTACATCTGTGTTTGTGCAATCACACTCAATTCGTGTATGGTGTTCTGCGATCTTATGTTTTTTCGATCCCGAAAATCCCGAATTCTACTTAAAATTTAATATGTTGTTTAATAATATTTCTCATAAATACTAAACTATTAAAACAGCATGAACACATGGTTTGTGTTACAGATGTTTAAGGTACAAGACCAAAAAATCGACACTTCAATGCTCGTACAAAGAGAAACCAATTTTATAGGTAGGTGATAAATAGTCAGTTACTCTGCTTCTGCCTGAAGTTAGGAATATCTGTACAGTCTCATCATAGTCTGATTTTACGCTTATTATCTAGTTTTACAGAAACGGCGCGATAAATGTATAGGTCTAATTTTTCTACTGAGGTTTGACGCAAACGGATCATAGCATACTAATTTGATATGCTACAGAACAACATTCATGAGTTTGATTGTATCCTAAAAGTGTGTATTTGGATAGTTTTTCAAGCCCTGACAAACGTGCCTTATTAATTCTTGGGTTTAGAATGGCATACATCCGCATTCCATTGGTGTTTTGTTTATATCACTTGACTTCTGATTTGCTCATAACTGTTCGCTGTAAAATGTTGCTTTTATGAAGCTGCGGTATATACATGTTCAGTTTGTTTTCATTGTCTTCGTGATAGCAGCTGAGTATATTTGATCGCCTTATATGTCTCAATAAATTTCTTTCGTCATGAATGTTTCATTAGTTACGAGCTTCAATAACTCATTTTAAAGTATCTCGATCAAGAAACATAGTATCGTGGGAAGTCATTCCACGTCACAGTACTTTTACTTCGATGACTTTTGATTCTGTCATTTCATGGGCTGCCAGTGAAGTTTAACTAATTTGTCAGCCAGCGTAAAATTAGGCACATGACTAGATTCAGTTCTATCAATTTTTATACTTCGAAGGTCTTATTTTTGATTCTGAAAACACGTGACGCAACTGTATTGTTTTTTTGGTAAATAGCCTGAGCGAAAACTATAAATTAAAGGTCTGTCCGCTTATATATCAATATGGGTTTCAATTCCATCATTATGCTTTGATTTTGTCCAACCTTTACGAATCCCCATCAAACTTTGTGTTTATGTTCAAACATTTGGCTCAAAATTTATCTAAAGTCTAAATTTCATTGCTCCAGGATGTGCAGTGCATATCTCTATATGTTCAAGGACTTAATAGTGAGTGTCACCAAAATTTCTTTTCTCAACATATATTGGCTTATTTACATATTCAGAAGAAGTCTTTTAAAATAAAGTCTTTGGTGAATACTTTAGTAACCTCTTTAGTAGACTAGACTTTTCTGACTCTTGTAGTTTAAATTCGTTAACAGATGTGATATAAATTAAAAATTCCGAAGGCAACGATTTCATGCCCTCGGTATTTAGATATGATCCTTCCATACGATTCCCCACTTTTGTTTCCTAGATACTTGATTTCATTAGAGATTGGAGATGTTTACAGTCGCATTAAGATCTTCTGGAACTTCTAGCCTAATAAAAATGGTTTTAATCAGAATTAATAAGAATCATTATTCACTGTTGCTGTCTAACAAACTGAAAATCTTATATCTTTTAACTGCCCGAATGATTTAGGAGGTTCTCTGACGATTCAGAATATTTTACAAAACGTCTGATAAAACTGAAACTTTTCATGATTGAAAATATTTTCTTATCATTCCTGGGAAACTCCTTTTCATCGACAGCAACCGGTTGACTTATCAAATCAAAAATTGTTTTACGAGTTTTACTAGTAAGAAACATGTTCAATGCAATATAAACACTAAACAAACACGTTGATACGCTAAAAGAAAGCAAAGTTATCAGTTCTAATAACTATTGGCTAGATACAATAGGATGCATGAGCACTACATACGTTGTTCGTTGATATGGCGCAGTTCTTAATTGGACGGCTGTCTTTTCTTATATTTGATGATAGATAGTAAACAATCAACTAGCAAGCAGATTTGGTTTGTTATCCACAATCTTCCTCTCAACGAAAATGTTGATAAATCTTGTCTAAATGTATTGGGATAAAATTAATCTAATTAACACTTCTGAGAGTCCCAGGGATTCTATCATTCCTTTTTAAATATTGGGAGCAGTGGAATGTAAAGGGTATTAGTGAACATTTTTAATGTTTCTTCATGTCAGATTAAGACATTTATACCGTTACTGCTAATATTTTGATATTGATATGACAGTAAACAAAGAAACCTACAGTGTTGTTATAAAGTTTTAGGTAATAGTTTGAAATCACATATTTTATTAAAATTCTTCGAGTTTGACTTTGTTTTAATGATTTTAAGCAGAATAGAACACAGGCGATGAGCAATACTCAGGATTGGCTCGGCAATTATTCCAAACACTGATGATGGTAGTGTGCTGATCCTGGGCTCTTTTCCCGATCTTCCTACAAATTCTACTCTTCTCCTTTCGATTACCTTTAGTTGAACTGTCTGTAACCTGTGTTTCGAACCGATATCAAGATAAAGAATTTTCAATACCTCTTTCGTCTTTAGAGATGATTAGATAAGATTCTTTGTGTCTCAGATATCTTACACTTTTAGGACTAATGAACAGCATTTAGATGACTAAATCTTGAATTGTCAATCTCACTATGTTATGAGTTGTCTACAAGAAATCATTTAGTTCCTAAAAATCTGATAGACTATTAACCAAGGTTTTTCATTCGATCATGAGCCGTTGCTCTGACCTACGTTGGTAAATTCAGAGTACCTAGTTGAAAGAAGTGATTACAGATGTTGGATGACATGGGTCAATCTGTCATAATGGTACAGATTTATTCACTCTTTATCTTGCTCTAGGACTTGAGTTCCAGTATTTCTCTGCATATACTTTCCAATCCCGTCTTCTTAAACCATATTCTCAGTGTTTTTTGTCACTATCATTTTTACCGCAATTAATTAGGCTCTTTTACTACTCATCTTGGTATGTTGTAGTTTAGTAACATGTGTTGACATATGTTTGTCCTAGATTCCACGTTAATCATAACTGATTCGTACTTGTTAAGAGTGTAAGCCAGATAATTATTTTACTTAAATACACCAAACAGCTACTTTATCATTCTTATTTTATATACAGGGAGAACAGTGTTGTTCTTCGAACAAAGCTCGTTGTTCGTGTTAAAGCGATCATTGGTAAGTTTTAATTCTTAAATCTTTTGATAAAATGTTTTTTCCAATTAACGCTTTAATTTAACTTTATACAAAGTGTAAACTGTCTTTAGTTAGTTTTAACGACCGTGTAACTTACCATTGTATTTACACATTTAGTCTCTATCTATTTGTAGTTAGAAAAATATTTCTCAGTAACTCTGATATGAGCCTCAGTTTCCCAGGTCCTTTGACGAATGCACACTAATAATAGATGTCCAACCAACAGGACTAATATCATATGCTAAATCAGTTGAGATCAAAAATACGTTACCAGCCTGACTGAAATGTACATCTTACGACAACTAACGAGGTTAGGAAAGTGTATAACGAAATACACATAATTATCTGTCTGGATGTGTTAGTTAATCGCAGCCAACTGTGTCTAGGCTCACCTAAATTATGTTGTCAATCTTGGTAAACTTGTACAGTTTCGACTTTCAGTTTGTTTGAAGCCAAATCTGTTTATTCGATTGAACATCACTGTCGGAATTCTAACTGTAATATAATAATATTCGTCACACGAATCATGAGGATGGTGAACTCCATTTGAGAGCTATGCTCCTGTTTCCACTGTCATCAGGATCTTTGTCGGGTGAACAAATAACTTTATCACAGGAATGTTATGTTTTCTCACTTGTCAGACAATCTAATTTTTGAGTGTTTGAAGGATTTAAAAACAAGGTTTTCCATTTTGATAGCAGTTGTGATTGCAAATAATAGGCGACTAAATTAAAAGAGAATTACACAGCTACATTGTTTCACTTTGTAACTTAAGGGAAACATGTTGTTAGAGATGTTTTTCAATCTGTCTAATTGGATACCAGCCATTGTAAGAAAACACCAATGGTTTGATGCTTTTAAACCATTAGGTTGTTTATCCTCATCCCATAGCACCATTAGTTTGGACAGTCAGATAGTACCATAACCAACAGACACAAGCAGTGAAGCTCAAAACATTGTCGTATAAAACTGAATTTGGCAAAATAGTCGAATTGTTATTATTATCTACTTGAAGAGATCTCGTGAAAATTGGTTTAATTCGTAGGTTGTAATGGTCATAGACTGATGTCATTTGTGACAGTGGGCAGTTGTTTTGTCTTAGTGTGGGACCCGTCAATAGTGGCTATCTAAGTTCGGATTTGTCAAAAGTGAAACAATTTTCAGTAATTGCATTAGATGATCGTTGTGCTATATTACAAAGTGACTGAAGTTTTCATTGTACCGTTGGACGCCAGCCCAGTGGTCCTAATGTTTGAGAAGTCGCCTCAAGACCTGAAGGTATTAGTTTCAAACCCTTGTGGAGTCGTGTGTGTACACTGCTGAGAAATGTTACATTTAGACTGAACATCTATCCAGTGCTCTCTCATTTTAAGTGATACTTTAAATGAAATCAGTCTGTGAATAATACTGCCTGTTATTATTATTGAATAAAATAATTTGCCTCAGTGTGCTGTAGAATTGCTGAACAATATAGAGAAAAAAGCAAGTAGACGTGGTAAAACAACTTGATATAAATAAGAACGTTTAACACTCAATTTATATGCAAATTCCCCTTGGACTTGCATCATATTTTTGGTTATGGCTACTCTACAGACATTTATCAAATGAATTGGGGAAATCTTGTTAGGTACCATGTGCTTACTGTACTTTTGATTACACTGATTAATTATCCACTTGTTAAATTAAGAAATTAGAATCTTTAATACATTGCACCAGTAAGCTTTAAGAAACTGCATAACTTTCCTACTGCAACTACTAAGTTAACATTCATTCGAGTGTGTTAATTATGATATGTAGATAGTAATATATTAAGGAAATTATAAGTAGATTTATAACCCACAAGTGGTGTTGAGATCTAAAGTGATTTTCTTAAACTTGTCAAATAAAAGTTATCTACAAAGACATTGAATCATTGAGCATTCAGCAACTAACTTTTGCTAATATAAACAAGTAAAACTATATAATCAAAATCATGTTTACAATTTACAGTTTGTTACATTAATTTGTATTCCGTAGTCTAAAGACTGTGGTATTTGTACGCTTAGTGTTTGTTATCAATCATACTATTGTGAATTACGAATAGTTTGAGAGAAACCGCCTTTAATTTTAGGGTTAAAATTAAACGATCGACGAATAGCTAATGCCAATTTATCATAAATCATTCCAAGTCCTCAATAGAAGTGTACATGTTAATTACAATAATTTGACTGTATAAAGGTCGATATATATCTTATTTTTTTATGGCAAATTATTGGATTAATCAAAATAGCGTTTTAAAAAGTTCGGTTACAAATTGAAACTTTGAATTAACTCATCTTTAACGCAGAAATCACTGAAATATGTCGATGGCGGTATACAATCTTACCACAACAGTTATAAGGATAATTCGATCAAAATAACACTAGAAGAGGAACTGATGAACGTGAATAGGTGTTTAAAGAACAACAGATATCCGCAATCATTAAGTCAGTCAAAATAACATGATTTAACTATACTATTTAGTTAGATGTTTTTTGAGAATTTCTAAAAATATTAGAATGTTTACAATTGATTGTTGACTAAAAAGTTACCAATGTCATGTTTGTATTGTCTTTTAGTGCTGACCGATTTCTATCGATCAAGTTGCAATACGGACACTAGTTTGTGAATTGATATCATGTGCATTATGCTAAGACATCAGAACTTGATGTGTACATTCTAACTCATACTATAGGAATGGAAAAGCATGACATTGATCACTTCTTAGTGATCAGTTAGTTGTAAATACTTCAGTTCCATAGGAGTTCAGTTATGGGTTAAATAGCTCATTGTTGACATTTCAGACTGTGAAGCTGGGTGATGCGGCCTCGAGTTTCACAGGAAACTTTAGTTCTCCCAAGAGTTTCAAATGGCGAGAATGTCTCATAATTAAATAGTGGTATCAACTAGAAAACAAGAGAACATTGAGAAATTTTGGCTTTTTCAGAGCTTTTTAATACTGAACAACTACAACTAGAAAGTGGATCAAACCAACTTGAAACATTTACGTTTCAAATAATAAATTAACTTCAGTTTCTTGGAAATCAGTTAAGAACTAAAATACAAGCAAAATGATACTTCTGTTTTGTAAATATTGTCAAATTTATCAAATTTGATAGGATTCTCTGATACTTCAATGTTTATCAAGCTACTATTATACGATGTAACCTATTTTATCTTCATGATAACTAACGAGAAGTTATGATCTAGAAAAGTCAGATGTATCCGTTTGAAATATTTTTAGCGAATAGACAAAAAATCCTGAACTTCAGTTTTATACATGTTAGCAACTTCCCAAACCTCGTATAAGCAACTATGAGGAAACTGAAACTTCTTTAAAGAAATAGTACAAGTCAATCAGACTCGCATTTAAAAGAGTTATTACTAATGGATTCAGACTGAATATCGCTCATCATTTGGGATCTCTATGAAAACGTCATTTCAGGTTAAATAACTTAACATAAGGATCATGTTGCACTATCATTCATGATGGATTTGAACTAAACAAAGTAATGAGTTGCCTGTCAGTGATTATTTCATAGAAGACTACTGATCCAGAATTCAATTAATTTTAGTAAACTTTTCGCGGAACTCTGTTTATGTGAAAGTTGTGTATTTAAACCAAATCTGTTTAATTTAATCTTTATACCAATCTCAATCCTTTTTCAATTCACTATACAATCTGGGACTGTAACAAAACTCTTAAATGCTACCTTGATGCACCAAAGTTCTTCCGACTTGTTTCTCACCACTTTCCAATATTCCACTGTCCAAATACAGTAGAATTGTATAATTAACTGTTTTCATCTAACATTATACTTTGGAGAATACTGTGTTATGTTCTATTGTTTATAAAAATAAATGTAATCTCAAATTACCTAGCATGTTCTTTACAATTATAATTTATGTTCTTCTTCTCCTCCCTATCAGAAAAATTATTAGATGCCAATGGTCGAGAGTTAAAACGTTCGCTCTTTTCATTAAAACAAATATTTCAGGTGAGCATATTAAATGCACATTTCTTTTAAAAATAAGCCTACCTATTTTGATCATAAGTAAGTTCAACATTATCTTATCGATTACAAGTACAGTTACTCTAATAGTGACTGTCTACCTACCTATATATATATACTCAAGTATTAAATAGAAATTCATATTTATTTATGTAGAAGACAAACTAGTCGTCTATATAATACACCTTAATATGTCATTGAATATGCGGTACATTCATGTTGCGCATAGTTTAAAATTGTGAAAATAAAATAGAATTTTCAATTTAGGAATTTTTCATTTTTATTCCCAAAAGTTCTGTTCTTCAGACAACAAATTTTTCTTTAGAATATGTGTCCCACTTGCATAGAAGTCAGTTAATATTAACTTATTATTGTGTCATTAAGTCGTAACACTGTTTTTCTTTTGAAATTTAAGTTTGTTCTAGTGGGAAGCCGTTACCAGTGGAGTACAACCAGGTCTGTTGTGAGATATCAGCTCACTGAAGACAATGGTATATGGTGGCGCAACTTCGTGGATTGGTTGAAGTTAGACATTAACACCGTTGGATGCCGGCTCAGTGGTCTAATGGTTAAGTGCTCGCGCGCGAAGCCAGTAGGTCCTGGGTTCGAGCCCCGCGTGGTGCGGGATCGTGGATGCGTACTGCTGAGGAGTCCCATACTAGGATGAAACGGCCGTCCAGTGCTTCCAGGTTTTCAATGATGGTCTAGCTTCAACTGACTCATGATTTCAATCTGTGAAAATTTCTAAAAATCTCCACAAACCCCTTCTGATTTAAGTTTGTATCAACCAGTATACAGAGCTACTACGATATTAAATCGCTTCTTAAATAGATTTACGAAATATACACCGGTCGGTTTTTTATATCTTAAAGGATCATTGACTAAAGTGTCTTTTACTAGTTTTTCTTTCAAATACTTAATATCGTGGTGTTGAATCGATAAAGTAAACAGAGAAGCTAACCCAGTACTCTATTAGTATTACTTATTATGGGATTATTCGGTTATTATACCAATAGAAAGTTACCATTATCGATTAGCAATCCGGGGATATTTTTTCAAATCCACCTAATTGATTATCCTTTTTTTAAATCTTGTAAATTATTTGCGCTTTTCTTTTGATCTTTTAATTTTTCTTGCATTAGGATGACAAAGACCTTGTACATGAATTTGTTACACATTCCGGTTTAGATTGTTTAGTGAATGTTGGCTCTAGATCAGATCAAAATATACAAAATTATATTCTTCGAGGTAAGTGAACGTAGACTTTTCTTTAATAGTTATTCAAAACAATGACAATGTATTATTGTCGAAATTCCAATATACTTTAATTACAATAACATTTAAATTGTTCTTTGGTCAATATTATTTTAACTTTTTTAAATACCAAAGACTAACTAACCATTGAAAGTTGGAAAGGTGGATGTTAAAGTAGCTAGTAAACTTACTCTTCAAGCTGAGTGTCTAGACAGAGAGAAAAATCTATTTACGAAGTGCATGTTTGTTCACAAAGAATCTAAGTCCCACTTTCTTCGCAAGGTTCGACAGTAATACTTAACTTTCAAAATCACAGTATGATGAGTATGACTCAAACTCATTTCCTTGTGTTTTAAAATCAAGCAGACTAAAACATTAAAAATAAGTGCGATAAAGACTGTTTAACCTTGTGTGTCGCTTCATACTACCACCATTGTACAGCAGTTTGTTAACAGCGAAAAATAATGGACTCCACTAGGAATCCTCAGTTGACTATTTATTGTAAAATCTATGTATCAGGTATGTTTTTTTATTAACGTTTAGCACTTCATTATTTCTTAGATTATTTATCTCATATATACTACGCTTCTGGTGGAGATCAACCCTAAGATATGTAGGTTTTAAAGAATTTTCCTGTAATTTTCCAAGCGTTGCTATAGTAAGACTAGTAGCATTGATGATAAATCTTACTTTTAAAATGCTAAAATCCCAGTATTCATTAGATCTCTTTTGGTATTAAAGGCATCTCCTGCTCGTTCTTATGGTGGAAAATAATTAATATATACTTATTGTAACAATATATTGTCACTTTCTCGTTAACTAAATATAAGTTAATTAGTACTACAAGCACACAGATTTACACTCGCTATTACAAAAACAATATCACCGATCAGTCAGATAAATTGTTAATATAGTATTTACAACTCCATCAACGTTAAAATGAGAATTGTAATATATGAATTAAGCAAATAGAACACGCAAGATAGTAGAATGAATGTGGAATGATATAAAGAGATATGTAGTGATATATCTGAGGTTATCTATCAGTATGAAATCAGGCAATCTATGTACATGTAAGAGACAGTTATGAATACAAGACTAAAATAGTAAAGATAAGTCTATTTTGAATTCAATAAACTGTCACCGTAATTATTGCTGAATTATAAAAACAATACAACCAAACTATGGTTAATCAAGACAAGTAAAAGCTGACTACTAGGTGTTAGATACTACCAAAACTATGTTTTACTTCGGATTATTTAGCGTATCGAAGCAACATTGAGATCATGTATTCTGATAAATAGGTAATGCTTTCTTTTTATATGCCTCCAGTCATAATTTATTTCAGTCAAGGAATAAGAGATCACGTGTTTATTTCTATTTCGTCATCTGAGAAGTGAATCTATCAGAATATATTCCCAGAAGACGAATAATCGCCTGACTGTCTTCTTGCTACTGCTCGATTCAAAGAATACAATGAAAATTATTCTGTGAAGTTTTAATCAGTACAAGAAAAGTATTTATCTGCTGAAAAAGTTATATGTGAATGGTTTATTTAATGCGACGAAGCAAATGCAATTTGCAATTGTGAATCATCTCTATCTGTTATATGCTTTTCTTTTGAAGTGAACAGTGATTCGGCACTCAAAATGTTCTGTTCACAAATGATAGATTGTAGATCCAAACTGCATCCACCTTCTGCCATCATTTAACAGCCAAGTTGTTTTACTAGCCCTCACTCTTATTCAAGATCATATGAATTTTTCTACAAAGTTTGCGTACTGGATAGTTTGTGAAATGATTTGAATTAGCATAAAGTGATCACTAATTTATTTGTCTATACATAACATTTTCCCTCCATTCGGTTTTATTCTTTAATCCATCTTAACTCTGTAGTAATAGTGTTTCAAGTATTTATAGGTTTGGCATCATATTCTATCAGTTTCATTGAAAAAGATCGTCTCGCACTCAGCTTAATGGGAAATTATTTGTATAATATTTTTTAAAAAGTATGAGGGCTCAATCATTTAAGTTTTTGATTAGCTAAGGAATCTCTGTGACAGTGAGTTGTACACGCAAATTATTTAGACAGTAGTGTAACTACTGTATTAACATCACTCTATTATTGTTTTATTTATTCACATATATTTTAGAGTAGGGAAATTTGTGGAGATCGTAGAATTTTCATACTTGAAATCGCGAATTGATTGAGCAATATTATGAAATGATTCAAGCCAGACACTGATACTGATAGATGCTGGGTCAGTGGTCTAGAGTTTTAGGCTTTCACGCGCAAGACCGAAAGACATTTTTTCGATCCCGGGTTGAGGAGTTGTGGATGAATATTGATGGGAATTCCTTTAATAGAGCGAAACGACCGTCCAGTATTTCCAGGTTTTTAATGGTGTTCTAGTCAAACTCAGTTCGTAACTTAAACTACAAAATGTATATTTTTGAACTAAGTGTCTTTATACAGTTCTAATAATTTTTTCATTATATTCTTTGTTTTAAGCTTTGGGGCAAATTATGCTCTATGTTGATGGAATGGCTGGTGTCATTGAACATCCAAATATTCTACGATGGTTATATTCTCTTTTAACGTCTAAGGTAATTTAATAACACTTCCGATAGGGACATTTGTTATGTGCATTAAAGCTTACTGTTCAATTACGTTTGATAAGTTGTGCCCTACTTTGGAAGATGCATGTCATACACACATATATGTATACGTTCGAATTTTACGGTGGACAAGATATCTTCAATTCTCTAATCTGAACTACAGTGTCGCAAATTACCAACTTTGATCACATATTTATTCAGTGTTTGATAATTAAGGGTGGTTTTCCGGTTGATGTTAGTTTATGATGAAATCCCAGTGAAACTGAACATCTCTAAAATGTATGAGTATCTATAAAATTTCGTTAAACATGTTCCGAATTCTCCAAATAATTTTTTAAAGATAGATTTAGACAGAAAAAGGTATATGAAACATAACATAATTATGTGATTAATTCAAGTTACCATACTTTTCGTCATAAACATGAACTAGGTAAGTTGAAACATAGATAGTAAATGAGCAATGTTAGCGGTAGTACAAACTGGCATTCAAAAAGTCAGGAAAAAACGTTTACCATATTTTGTACAGTTTAACGCAATTAAATTCAGAATATGCGTTTCGTTGTGTTTGTTTATTGAACTCATTGGTTGAATATACTTCTCTATTCCATAGTGAACACTTTCAACTGAGACTTAAATCTACTAACAACAACTATTCTTCCATTTTGCTATTCATATCATAAACTGACCAGTTCACTTCTTTTGTGTTACCTGGTCTGCAAGGCAAGATGGAAATCATTAGTGTTATATATATATATATATATATATATATATATATATATATATATATATATATATATATATATATATATATATATATATATATATATATATATATATATATATATATATATATATATATATATATATATATATAGGTTCGCACAAAAGCCTACCACTTATCCGGAGTCATTAACTTTTTATTATTTTATCTACTTGTTCTTTTTTCAATCTATTTCAATATCATGGAATTGTTGGGACAACAATGAATGTTGAAATTTTATGATTATTACTAATAAAACATGTTTTCAGTTTCGACTTGTTATGAAGACCGCGCTCAAACTCCAACTGTTATTTGTTGACTATGCTGAAATGAATGCAATGATTTTTGTCAAATCTGTAGAAGCATATCATGCAAATACTCGTAAGTTACTCTGGTTGTTTTAATTTTCCATTACTTTGTTTATTGTCTTCTAGTCTACTTGAATCATTGATTTAACTCAAGTGAATATACTGTTTTTTTATCTTAGTGTAGTTCGACGGTCGAAATAGTTGGCACTTGATTACTAAGTTATTAACATCCACTATAATCTGTCACAAAATGAGGCTAGTTAACAAATACCACTACCACCTAACAAATTCAGAATCCGAATCTACTGAACAAGATAGTATTTATGAAGAAAAAGAGTTTGTGGAAACTATCCACTTTCTCACAAACGGCTGTAGAACTCAGAGTTGTTAGGTGTATGAATGTTATTTTGTCATACACCGGGGTTCCTCAGAAATGCTTCGTGATGACGTCATCAGAGATCGAACCCAAGACTCACAAAACTCACTACAAGAGTGGCACCTTTAAAATACTTAGTCGACACCTAGTTATTCACATTTAAAAGTCCAGTCAATTCATGGTATTTCGCAAGGATCAACCGTTCGCATCATAGTCTAAGCGAATGATACGAGCTTACTCAGATTTGTATATTACTACGCCTCATGAATGTAGGTATAATTCAAGACGAAGTCGAATTATTTAATATTGAAGTTGCATCGGGAACTTCATTGACAGAATATAGCCAATAGCAATCTCTAGACAATTTGAAGTCCTCTGGCGATTTATTATTTTACTTACAAATGCATCGTAAAAACCAATATTCTCGACCACAGTGCTGGTAATGATGAATTATGAAGATTGATAATAGTCCACTCAAATATTAATTTGAATATTGTTTCATCTGCCATGATTTCGATAATTATGTGGTACATTAAAAGTTTATAGATAAAGCTCTCATATATATCAATTGAGATTTTGGATACAAGATTATCTTGTATCTTCCCATTGTTATTTAGGATTACAATTGATCAGTCTTTAAAAAAGCGACACCAAGTGAATTTAAACTTCACCCCATTGCACAAACAGGTGGCTATCAGGACTCAGTAGCTAAGTGGGTAACGCGATGGCGTCTGAAGCGAATGGTACTGGATTCGAGTGCCGGAGTGAACATCAACTCTGGGATGCAGGTACATCCAACTGACGAGTCCCAAATAGGACGAAACACGCGTCCTGGATTCCATTGCTAGTCACTATGCATCTTCGGTCCTTATCAGCTGCTTATAACTTGTAATATTTAAAGATAATAATTACAATACAAGTCCAAATTACATAAAAAAGTGTAGTTGAAATTCGCTATTTTCACACATCAGCATAGTATGCCAAGGATGTAAATAAATTTAAATATTGTAAATTTTATTTGAAAGAACAAAAACTAGAAACAAGTGTTTCCGTATTGAATAAATGCTATTAGTAAGTAAGAATAATAATATAAATGAAGCTCAATTAGTTAACATAAGTTTACTAATCTAGAAGACAGTCAGAATAAAAAGACTCAACAGTGAGTTTCATTAAGAAAAAGAGCTGAACAAAGTGTTACGATTTAATGAAGAAATATTTCTGTCATCGAGACAGATGAGAATTAACAAACATCTTTTTTTAACATTGGATTATTTGTAATTGCTTAAGTTCATATTCCACGTTGTTAATTCAACATATTATGGAAAAGTGGACGTAGCAGACCGGGAAGTTTAATATTTATGTAATGAACGAACACACAGATAGGGACAACTTATGTATGTTTGTACAAAATTACGAAATCTATTGGTAAAATATAAGAACTATCCATCGAATACTACATTTGCAAATTTCCGTCATTTGTCCTTCACATTCCATATAGCTTTTCCGAATCACAATTTCTTTTTAATTCATATTCTGTTTTCTTCAACTCGACCTCCATAGCCTTTTGTTGCCAGGTTTTCCACTTCTGACTAGTGTTACATACTACTTATGTTGACAATCATAAGTAGCATACACTACATATATACTGATTATGAAAATTTAATATATATTATCGTGTATGCAAAATCATACGTTTTCGTCAGTTGTGAAAATTATTCAACTCCTCTACAATCAACAGTCGACTATTTGCCACTGCCTATGTGATTCGACTTTAACAAGTGCAGTTGAACTCCTATCCTTATTTTCTGAAATAAAAACCAACTGGTCAAATCGATTCCTCAGAGTTTGGTGCTGTTTGCCTATGTAAACCTATACATTAATTGTAAAAATTAAGCTAAATGTATGTTCTGAGCACAAAGAAAGAATTATGAATATTGATTTTTTCACGTTGAAACACGTTCAAACAGTTGAATCTATTTGAACTGATCTATTTTCTTTATATACTTGATTGTCTTTAATGAATCTGAACAAAATAGCCTGCAGAACAGTTACTATGTATGAATTTCGTTCGCACTCATTTCAGTTATGTAAAATCTACAATGAATAATGTGAAAATGAAACAGGAAACTGACAGTTCATTAGTGATATAACTGGAAAGCTTTTAAAGTAGAAAATTATTGTAAGTTCACATGTCGATATTAGGAAGTTAAAGCATTAATACTCTATTAGATTCAGTGAAATTTAATTGATTCAAGTGTAAAAGCAGAATGTAGAGTTTCAACCTGGTAGGTTAAATGGTATTTAAGGAACTTCATCCGGTATTTAAAAACAAAGAGTACTAAACTGAACGATCGCTATGGATAATTTCTTTATCAGACCCTAGAGTTATAAATCTAAAATTGTTACGCTTGTGTTACAATAAACAAAACATTAAACTTGAATTAATCCATATCATAGCAAAATTATACTTACTTTATGTTCTTGAAGCACTTGGTATGAATTCAAAGAATCCCAACTTATAATTCACTTGGTATTGTTTTACTTGAATCTTCCCATTGATGTTTTAGGACTGAAATTGGTCAGTGTCTTATTGGCATATGTGCATACTGTGAGTATGCCTCGATATTGCCTTAATTTACAAGCATTATAAGCAAAGATGGATAGTGGCTAGCAGTGTTTACAAAAATGATACATACAACTTCTCTGTTTACCTCGGCACACATCTGAATTGTTTTCAATTGTCTCTTCCACCTTTATTATGATTTACACTCCCTTCAACGACACTTTTCATATCCTTAATTATGCATTCATCTTTTTATTTTAATAATAATAATAATAATAACAATTATTATTATTATTATTATTATTATTATTATTATTATTGGCACCGCAGTATTGAACATAGACTAAGTTTTCATTAACTACTTATTCAGAATCTAATGACTCGTTCTTTCCGTATTATTTGAATAATCCCAGAAGCAAACATTTTGAAATTTACATGTGTTGTTTTACGTTATCAAAAAGACACCTATTTTTCATAACATATGAAGTTGGAGAGATAAGTGGATGGGACTTATACTAACATAGGTAGAAGTAATGGTTCGAATTGTTCTCTTGGGCATTGGGACCCATGGCTCTCGTCTCGTTCTATTTGGGAATTGCCAGCCAGATATACCTGCACTCAAGTGTTGGTGTTCACATCGGGACTCGAATCCAGTGCCTTCTGCTACAAACTCCCAATGCTTTATCTAATTAGTTCACATAATCATTGACATGTTTAATGGGGGTGAATTTTAATTCTTATATGAGGAAGAAAGAATGTAATTCAGTGAAGGATATTTTCTCTTCAAATATTTCATTTACTTAAGCTTTACAATCATATTTATAGTTAATTTTGTTTTCTAAAATAGTTTATTGTAAGATAAAATGGTGTTGAATAACTGAGAAATCTTGAAATGGTATCTTGTGATAAATCGAAAATCATAAATTCAGATGAAGTTATGTAATAATTGACTAAGGGAAACATGGTAAGGTGAATATACTTATTCACTCGATAGCTACTAAGATCAAAATAATTAGAAGTTGTAATAATTGTTAATTAATAACTGTAAAAACAATTGGAAAGGAGTAGAAATAATAAGATGAAAAACGATCAATTATGAAAGATAGAAAGGGGGTTGAGACCATGGAAGAATAAGGGGCTGAACATACTGTAAAGGCTAGGCCTGAACCGTTGGATACCAATAACCTCTGCTGTTCATAGGTTTTCACCTGCATTCTTAAGGAGCCGACTTTTTTTACTGTGTGTATGATTTTGAAGGAGGCTTCTGATGAAGTGGAGTGATTACAATAGACTAGATGCTCCAAGATTGAGTTTTTGACCGACTTCTTTAATCCTTTGAAAGGCAAGAAGGGTACTGTTTGGAGTTGTGTATCAAAACAGTTCGCTTTCTGCGGCCAATGTAACCCGCTCTGCATGAGCAAGTAAACTGATAGAATCGGCCAAAAGCGAGAGCTTATCATTGACGCAGTTATGAATCATATGCCGACTAGAAAAGATAGTGCGAAGTTCAGCCGAACAGAACATTATTTCTTAGAGATCTTGAAAGTCTGTTTTATCCAGAATTTCTGCTTCAGTATCTCCTTTAAAGTGATTGTCCATGAAGAGGGTCTTCTGTGGTGTTTTTGGGACACTGTTTTTTTGGCTTCTGATTTTTCTCAATGAATCTAAATGGATATCCATTGTTGATCACTATCTTCCAAACTTTATCAAGTTCGATGTCGATTATATCCTCGACACGTCTAACTCTCATATATAAGGACTGTTTGAATCCTTCATTTGTTGATATGGTGAACGGTAGTTCATCAGTTTCTTTTGATGTATGCTCAGTTTGAGCTGATTGCCTCGATACTGTCATTAAGTCAAACTTGTAATATTGTTAAATGAGCATTGAAAATGATAGTGATCAGCCCAAAATCACCTGTAAATTCCGTTGTAACATGCAAACTGATATCAACCTATGGCTAATAGAAACTAACTATAGATTCGTATTAGTTAAATCATTTAAAATTGTGCGTGCTCAGTTTATTTCACTCTGTTTTAAAGCTAACGACATGTCTTTTGTTAGCGTTTCTTCCGTATATTACTAAGTGATCTATTAATTTGTACTAGACTAGTCCATTATATTTTAAGGCAT